AGTTCTAAAAACACTGGGCCACTAGATAAATTCACCACTAATCTTCCTAGATTTTTTCCTAAATGTGTTCTTGAGAAACATCTTTAGAAAAAGTCTCCATCAGATTCATGACGTGTTCTTAAAGCGCAGAACTGTTCTCCCCTTTGTGCTCTTGAGTGTGTAGATTCTGTTCTTACCTAAGAACAAATCTCAGATAAGAGAACACTGGTGAGTCAGAATCTTCGTCAAAACTGCGTAAGTGGGTTTTAAAAATAAATTTCTTCGTAAGAACAGTTGGTGAACAAGACCCTAAAACGGCTAATGATAAACCCGTGGCCTCCTCAATCCAATACGGTGCCCATCCTAAGATTAATTGCTGATCTGAAGTCGGGAGAGGAGGAACTGTCTACAGCACAAAAAGTGAAACTCACCCCAGTTATTTGTCAGCCTGGCTCCATTCTGAGGTGACAGTTGGGCTGGTCACGCTGTGTGACTGATTGGGTCGTGTGGACTGGGATTAATCTTTCTAATGACTGTCACTGTGCCTTTTCGACCTGTGTATGTGAGTATTTTCTAGACCGGGCTTATCTTTAGATTAGTGCTGGATGTGTTTCTAGGTCAAGCGTTTGTTGTCTTGTTCTCTGTTTTATGGAAGCAAGAAAGCAGGATCCATCCCCTTTAACCTGTCCTCTCTCCATCTTACAGGCCACCAATTTTTCCAGTCCCTCCCCCTCCAACTCACACAGAGATCGCTCAACAGCACTTTTCCTTTTCTGAACCTGAAACCCTGAGTATCGGCTCAAATCCATATTTTTTCTTGCTTGAACTAAAGAAGTAGTATTTTCGCATGTAATTCAGATCTGTTTTACATTGTTCCTGTCATGCAGGGATTTTGTGCCACAAAAATTCAAGAAAACATAAATTTATATTATAAGCCAAAATGTATTTGCCCTACATAAAAAGTTGCAGTGGTTGATTCTCTGCTGAATTTAGCTTCTAGAATGTCTGTTTTGAGGATCTAACCGTGGTCCCCACCGCACCAGAGCTCAGTTTCCCTTGATGCCGCTTTTCCATGTCAGATGTTTTGATGTAGGATTCTTAGGGAAGAAATCTAGATGAAATTCCGTGAAATGTATTTTTAGTGATATATTACGTTCCATAGCTCTGTATGATTTCAATAGGACACTCACTATTTCAGTCTTTTCTGCTTTATAATGTTTCAAAATGATCTCAGTAATTTTCCTGAATAGACAGCCATGCTGATTTTCTTCAGTCTTATTTCAGAACTGTACATTTCGTATTACTTTTCTAATTTGAGGACCTAAAAAAATTTGATTTGATCTTGGCATCTCTTATCTGGGGAAATTTATTGCATAAATCCAGCACCATTTTGATCCATCTCTTTGATAAAATACATATTTATAGCGTAAATAAGTTATCTAAACGTATAAAAAGGTCTGTATAAAACTATACAAAAGGTCAAATTATGATTTGTTGATATTCTACCTCTATAATGTTTTCTAATTCTAATTCTATAATGTAAATATGATGACAGTTCTAAAAGTTTTACTGCATGAATACCATTTAGGAAATTAGGGGAACTGTTAAGGTCAAGACTAGATCTGGAAGACCAAGAAAAATCTCTGAGGAACGGCTCCTAGACTGGTCAGACTTTATTGAAGATATTGCATTTGCATTGTATTCTGAAGAGAAAGACTGTCTTTCCTCCTCTGTTCAATCCAGCCACAGTTTGGTCCTGGATTGCGGTGCCGGGTGTTGAATAGATGCCAGTTCTAAATTCACATCTGTCTCCTCATCTGCTCCTGTGAAGTCACACCTCTCTTCGCTCTCTCCTATCTGTCTTTCACGTTGTCGTTATCTCTGAGCAGACGTGAGGTCATTCTCCGTGGAGAACCCCTCGTCACCCTGTTTTGCCTCCCCAGTCTAATCAAGCCAAGTTCCTGAAACACAGGCTTCACTGTGCCGTGCCAGGTCTGTGATACAGCGTGTCCCGAGTGTTTTGGCTAGCAGCAGCTCCTTGCCAGTCGGTTCAGGTTTATTCAGAGTGTTGATCTGTGCCTGGCTAGTTCCTCTGTTGTGAGGCGCCAAGCAAACAGCAGAAAATGGAGGAGATCATCCTCCGAATGTGGCAAACAGCCACACTGGTCTTTTAATGAGTCGCTCAGTGAGCTGAATGAGGCAGCATTAGGTATGAAATCTGGTCTGTTAGCACTGATAGCATTAATCTGTGCCAGTTCTGTGAAAGACTGAAGTATTTTACTGGGCTGTTATGATGGTTGTGGTGCTCTACAGATATTCCTCTACTTTAAGACCATAAATAACTGAGTGTCAGAGATGATGGATTGTGTGGGTTTCACTGGTCACATAAATGTATATTATAAGTTGATTACTCACAAAAAAAATCAGTAAATCAGCAGTGATTGGTTGGCAGTGTGCACGATGATAATGCGCCCAGGCATATCTATAAATATTTGGATGTCATCAAAGTTATTATTTTAGCTATCACAGAATATTCAAGTTAAAATATAAACTTAATTTGAATTTTCAGCTTCAGCTTGAACTGTATAGGGATTACAGCCATTTTTGACAATGACTTTGTCAATGTCTAAATATTTATAGACCTGAATGTATAATAAATTCTACAACTGGGATGATAAGCAATTTTGGAAAACATAAGGACAAAATTTTTTAAAACCCACAGATATTTTAATGTCTTACAGGAATAAAATTTTAAAAACCTACATATGAACAATAACGCTGTGTTTCATATTTGCTAATTGTTGCTCTTGTAGTTTGTTCGCTCCTTTCAATGCTTGAGGGTCTAAACGAGAGCAGTGCTGTGAAACGCCTCCCACTGATTCAGCTCCTGAGTGAGTCTGTGTTAAACCTTTTAACAGGATGGGCTGTTACTTCTGTCTTCAGCTTTGAGTGTCTGGCTAAAGAAGTTGTTAGTAAACAATGGATCCTTTTCTTTATATTCTTTGTCTCTTGAGTATTAAATAAAGAAGCACATCAGACTTGATGTGAAGGGTTTGCAGCATTAACAATCACATCCGTCCGTAAAAATTGGTGTAAAATTCCTTACAACAAATCACTAAATTTAAGAAAAATTTGTTTTTGGCGACATTTTCCTTGTGTAGCACCACAAGTAAAACAAGGACTAGAGTTTTCGAGCATGGATTGGAGTGAAGATCATTCATGCATACCAAACGCAATGGAAAAGAACAAATAAATTCTACCTATCGATTTAATGATCGGTATTGATCATTAGAGATAGTGATTAGGTGGTCCAGCCCTGTTAAATTCTACCAGTGGTCTATTATAGAATAGGAAACAGAGCCTGGTAAACCATTTACATTCATTTTTATCATTTTTTTATTTTTCCTGTTTTTTTTTTCCTAAAATTCTTTGTACTTTTTCTAGTAAAGTATGTCGGTGGTGGGTCTCGCTTTCTGCTTTTTGAGTTGATCAATTCCTGGCTTGGAACAGAGCAAAAACTTGCTAATACATACTTCATTTTTTTGTAATTTGCGATTGTTTGTATACTGTATAATAAATATGAAACTGATCAGACAAACACCATCAGCTACTAAACAAACTGACCAAACAAATGTCTCACTTTGCCATTTTTCTCTTAGTCAGCAAATCACCGTCAGCGTAGTAAACTGCAGTGATATAAAGTTCGAGAGCTGTTCCAGCCCAGAGGTTTAATCTCATCTGATCACTTTCCGGATATCCATATATATAAAAACACAACAACAATTCGTTAGTATTTTATCTGTTCTTCACAACGTAGGAGTTAAAATCAGCCTGCTGAATAGAAACTAACTAACTGGCAGACACGTCAGTGACAGGCTCTGGTTTTGCCCCGACAGGTAATCTGATTGGCCTTCTCTCTCTCAACATATCAAAGATGAGCTCTGATTGGATCTCTCTGTGTGGTTGTCCAGGCATATTGCCCGTCCACACTGGACATTGTTAAAAAACTGTGCACAAATCTTTATTGATAACATATTTTCCTGTCCTGTTTCCTGAGTTTCTTGCTGTATGAGATGATGAAATGCATGTTTTCGAGGCCTGGCCCAAAGCCTGACAGTGAAATCTTTGAGAACCTGGTTTATCGTTGTTCACTTTGAAATATTTAGAAGACTCTGCTTACTCAAATAAAATAAATAAATAAGTAAATGGTTGATGGGTTCATTACTGGTGTAATCAATAGTGGCTGCCAGTTCAGACTCTGTCATTAAGATGTATTTGATCAGGTCTCAATCAAGATGAATTTTTTCTTTAGCGTATCGATAACACCTATTTATCATTAATAGTGGCTGGGAAGTCTGTCCTATTGTCTGATTTGCAGCCCCCCCAGCTCCCTCATCCATCACCCCCAGCAGCCGTCACCCAGTGTCCTCCTCTCCGCGCCCGTCACACTCTCGCCCGATTCTCATTACACCGCCCTCTCGACCCGATCCCACAGGAGGAGGAGACTCAGTACCACTTGGAGTACAAAGGGCTGCTGGGCTAATCGAGCTCCATGCTAATGCAGTCTTGCATGATGAAAGGTGCAAAATGCTTGATGTCCATGTAGCAGCAGGCGTGGCAGCAGCGCTGAGGTGCTGAAAACAGGTGAAATTTATGGGCCGGGTTTTTTCGTTTCTGCGCTTCCTTTGTTGAAAATCATGTCCCAGTGATAATGTGGCGTGCAGGTGTTTGTTGTTGTGTCCGGGTCTTTGTTGAATCAGATTTGTTGATGTGTCAATCTTTTACACCTGCCCCAAACTCAGCAGCTCAGCTGTGCTATCGGACAGGGTTGTTTATATGCAGAACATAAGAACTTTTGAACGATTCCTGGTTTTGGCCTGACAGCCTTTGTTGAAAAGCATTCAGCTACACTATTGGGAACAAACACAGCGGCATCAGCAGACGCTGCCCTGCTCTGATGCAGAGCTCAGCTGTAAATCACGGCATTGTTAAATGTAAATATGTCTTGTTTTGTTTTGTAGATGGTGGCTCTTGAGAGGCAGGTGTTTGATTTCCTGGGTTATCAGTGGGCTCCCATCTTGGCCAACTTCTTCCACATCATCGTTGTCATCCTGGGCCTTTTCGGCACCATCCAGTACCGCCCGCGCTACATAGTGGTGGTGAGTATCCACACATATCGCCACATTAAGAACAAACCTTGTATCTTCACTTTTGTTGTTTTTCTATTTTTTACAGTATTTGAAAATACCAGCTGCTCTTTACATTGTTTGAAATTTTCATGATAACTGGAACAGAAATGGTCCAAAACTGCTTACGTTAAAATATCTTTACCTAATTACATTTGAGTGCTTACATTTACATTATGAGTGCTTTTTCTCTAACATTAGAATAAACACAAATAAAAATAGACAATATGTGGTTCAGTGTGTGAGCTTAACTATTTCCAAACGTCTTGGGGAAGCCTAGTGTTTCTGATTACCATCATCCACCTGCGTCAGCTAATCGGTCCTTCTTAAAGTAAATCAGATGTGCTGCTGATGGATTTTAACAAACCCATGCAGTGACCTGAGTGCAGAGAGCAGTCAGGAATCAAACCTGTGTTCTTTTAACTGCATTCTTCTAACTGAGCTATTATTAACTTAAAAACCATCTGGCTACTTTATTTTTGTTTATTTCTATTTATTTGTAACTGTTATAGTGTTTCTGCTGGCAAAAACGCTCTTACTGCCGTATTTAAATAGTTTCAAATGATTTTTGTGGCTGCCTGAAACTGTTGTGCAGTACTGTATGTTGGACCCCCCCGTTATTAAAATGACCTTAAAAGAACAAATAACTGTGATTTTCTTGTTGTCTCAGCCGTTTTAGTGCTCTAATGTAGGCTGATGATTGAAGTGCATTAGCGCAGCTGCCGATGAGTCATGAGTGTAAAATTGATGAAGCAGTGAGATGCAGTGGGGAAGCCTCAGGGCCTTATAGGACTTCAGAGGAGACCTAATGGTTTCTGTTATATAAAAAATGCATAATCTGTCATTTTTAGTTCATTTTTATTTAATGTAATCTTTATGCTTGTGTTAAACTCTGCAAGTATTGTAGTTATACTCTCATTTATTTAGGTTTTGGTAGAAAACAGAAGGGTTAGGTTATTGAAATGCCCAGTGGGAATTTGTCCAGTCAGGACTTTTTTTATCCATGGTTTTTGGGTAGATACAGCAAGAGCTCTTTACTGAAGGAGTCGCTATAAAATATGCTACAAGGCATGAATATGTCTGTTACAGTCTACAAATAAAACATGGATTGTTTTATTTGTTTTTTCCACAATACATGAGTCTCAGCTTTGGCCTTCTCAACTAATGACTGCACCCCTGAGTCTTTGTGAGCGACGCTCATTGGAAACATTTCTTAGAGCGAAACGTCTTTTCAGTGTGTGCAGATCTGCTAGTCGTTAACTGAAGAGAGGTGATGTAAGGACTTGAGGAGGAGGACTTAAGAGTAGCGCTCAGTGTTAATGGACCCTGACGCACAGCCCTCACCTCACTGCCTTCCAAAGCACTAGACTGATCCCTGTACTCCCAACACATTGTTTGGCATTTTAATCTCTAGAATCTGCTCCTAATTACTATTAATTAAATGATTAAAGTCCGGCTCACCTCAGCTCCTTACTGGGTCAAGCCTAATTCCAACGGCACTCCAAAGCCTACTGGATTTCCACAGCTTCAGCTTTAGTTTTAATGAAAGAGAAGAGGTTATTTTTAGGCATTGCAGTCTGAGGCGCAGAGTAGAAGACGTTCATAAGAACTTCTTGTGATTAACGATGTCAGCACTGCTGCAAATGTGGATAGAACAGATGGAATGTAAGTAGAAGTGACCTAAACATTACCCAGGAATGAAGTAGCATCTCCTGCTGAATTGGACAGCACAGTTTTTTCAAAGTACAGACATTGAGTTTATTATTGATTCCAGATTGTTTTGGTCTTTATTTTGAATGTGTGATAGATCAGATGTATGTTTTGTCCTGTAATCAAGGCATGATGGCTAATTCAGTGTTTAGCTTTAATTAGCTATAACAGCATAGTCCAGCTCATTAGCATAGCATCTTAAACTGGAATCTCAACCTAATGTAGTGAATCTAAAGTTGAATTCGTCAAACTGAAAGTCATTTCTGTCAGCATTCTGTAAAGTCTGTTCAGTTTTGGAACAGTTTCTTCAAAAGATCACATTTGTGGGCAGAAACAGGTCAATTAATGATGCTGTTAATGTGTCGACACTTTATCCCAAAACAGTTTCAACATGTTTTAATAGGTTTAAGTTAAAAGGTGAGTGAAGATTCAGTTCAAGCTTTATGCTGAAAAGCAACAGCTTATAAAAGAGAGAAAGTCGGGCAGGAAATGATGGAGGACAGATGTGAAGAGACCTGCAGCTTCAGGGCAGGAAAACTCCTGGGAATCTGGAGGGAGTTTTGTCTCGGCATGTCAGCATCTCGCCGTTCACCCCCCTGTCCATCTAGCTGTGTATTACTCACCTATAATCATGACTTAGTGCATGAATCACCGTGTCTAAAGTTCAGTCTTCCCCAACAAGACATTAGCTTAATCTTAGGTCATCTTACTGAAAGGTGGAAGTCGTTTTGCCTCAGGCTGCACTTTACCGTCATTTGAGACCTACAACTCCTCCGACTCGTGCACAGCTGTGAGTTTATCTGCTCCGCTGAGTGAACGTTTGTCAGTTAGTTACTATAATGGTTATGAAAATGTCAGTGCGGTTTTTATCATCTAATTCTGGACCCCTTTCTGTGCTCCAGTTACGGAAAATTAGACCTGAGTTCAACCGTCTCTTTCTTGAAATGAGAACTTTTTTCTGTGGAGTTTCTGTTGTGGAAGGTCTCTCTGAAGAACCCTTTGGCATTTTAAAATGTTCTTTGAAAGATTAAGCAGCCAACTATGCCTTAGAGCCAAGCTTTCCACAAGGGACAAAGGATTTCTCAAAGAGCTTCGTCCTCTTTCCTTAATGCTCTCGGTATGAACCAACGCTGGGTGACCTCTCAGTGTGAGCTCCTAGTCTGGTGAAATGGCAGTTACTAAGTCTACTATCTGCAGAACTGCGAATGAATTAGAAAAGCGCTTTTCTCCAATTTCCCTGATTCCTCAGCTCTGCGAAGTTAAACAGACTAGAAACCAGCCGTCTTGCTTATCACTAGGAGGAGTGCTAATTTAAATTAGCATCTGAATGGCCTTTATGGCTGCATTGTGAAAAGCACAGGATGGTCAATAGAAGGAGACGGAACCAGGCCAGAACGTTCAGCTCTAAACCAAGATGCAGCCTTGTAAATTATTCCACGGCCATTTTAGCACATTTTCATGCTAATAGACTTATAAACACAAGTATCTGCCTTACTGAGCCACGAACACATCATCACCCAGATTTACATGGAATGCAGTTACTTAAAAGTCTGCTGAGTGACCCTCTAAGGTGTTTTGTGCCATCAGTGACATTTTCCTCTGGCCGTATGTTCGTATGTGGGCCGTGTGATCAGCGTGTGAGAGCATGTCTGTAAATATGTGCCGTGTGTTTTGCAGTATGCTGTGTGGACGGCGCTGTGGGTGGCCTGGAACGTCTTCCTCATCTGTTTCTATCTGGAAGTCGGAGGTCTTTCCAAGGTAGGATTCTGAAACTACAGCTCACTGAGTTTTAGATCTAGGATAAACGTCATGCTTCATGCGTTTTGATCTCCAAAGCGTGTGGATTTGGTCATGGTTTTTCCAGTTAAGGCTGTCTGGCTTTGGAAACCTCTGTTGTGCTGTCGACGCAGGTTCAGCTGCATGACCATTCTTCTTCAGATGCCAAACTAGATCCAGGATGCCAGACTAGTTATCTGATGTTTATTTTAGTGATCTGTTTTGACCATCTAAGATGGGTAAATTCACCAGGTAAATAAAGGAGGGTGATGTAGTTAAGACACCACATACTGGAAGGCGTTTCACGGTCCATGCTTTTATCATGATGTCTCGTGTTTCTGAGGCAAGTTGGAGCAAAAAAAGAACCAGCAAAACACTTTTGTCACATTTGATTATTTAATTGTTTTCAGAAAATAAATGTTTAAGATGGAACATGAAGAAAAGTGCACATAGATAAATTAATTCTATTTTGGAAAATTAATTTAATGCCATAATCCAGTCAGCTGCTTGCAGTTTATGCAGGTAATACACACTGTGCTAGTTGTTTACATACCGTCTAAAGATAATACCGTACCGTATAAAGATAATGCTTAATTATGTTTGTTTGATTAAAACAAATGATTTTTCATTAAAAAAACAAAAAAACGTTTAATTATTTACTGAAAATACATGATTCCACACTGTTAAACACTGATTTTCAGACTTTGGGACGCATTTTTTATAAAAACAATTTTGTCTAACTGCTCACCATGTGGCCATGAGGGACAAGGATGCAGTCTCACTTCCTAAAATGAAGGGTGTGGCTAAAATAAGGCTCCGCCCATGGACTAAAATGGGATGTGGTTTGATAGTGACACTAAAATTTGGGACAGCATTTTTTAAATAAAGTTGTTTTTATTGAAAAATAGCCTTGTTTTAAATTTAAATCTTTCAGCTTTAAAATACATTGAAAAGATGTTTTTAAAAAATAAAATTAAAAAAGGAAAAAGTATTGTCACATGTTGAAATGTAGGGGTTTGGGACGGACACCTCCCAACAGAAATTACCCTTTACATTATGATTTTGTTTATAATTAGCTCTTAATACTTTTAATTAATACTTTTAATGTAGTAATGCTTCAGCTTTAAATAGATCATAACCTGATCCTTGTAAATATCTAAGCTCTGCATGGTTTAATGGTTCTTCTCTGTGATGGAAAGCTTGTTGTGTATGGTTGAGTTCTATAAAGAAATGTTTTAAATAGTTCTATGCAATGGTTCTATGGTTCTCCCCTTCAAACCCCAGGCTCATTACATTTTAAGCCTTTTTATCCAGTAACTTATAGAAGTGTGTAATAAAACTGGCCGTTTAAGGGGTTAAAATAAGTTTGCTGTCAAAGTGAAGAGCCATTTAACTGTACCAAGAACTATTTATGCTTTCGGGGGTTTTGAGTGTTCACAGTTCTATGAATAACCAGCCGTTCAGGGATTGTTCTGTAAGAGTGTATAGGAAGGATTTCTCAGCCTTTTTGTTCTGCACTGCTGTTTGTTCACTACAGTGAATTTACAGCCATTGAACTGCAGTGTTCCCTCACTCACCTGCTCTCAGTTTCTGACCATTAGCAGTTTTACAACTTCATTTTACAGCTGAACAAGACCATTTGTGATGCTAACAGAGCCGGTGAATGTGTTTGTGTGTCTGTGGGTGAGTGTGTGTGCTTTTTCCCGTGTCCCATGTGGAATTCTGCCCACAGTAAAGCTGAATAAAACAGCAGGTTTTGTCTACGAGCGCTACGACTGTAGAAATGAATTCACAGGAAGGCCCCTCAGGTGCTTTCTCTGAGAGTGAAAAGCTGGCGTTAAGCTTTCTCCCTGCCACTCCGTCCCTCCGTCATACATAAACCAGCTCTCGGCTTCCTGCGTGTGCTGACAGGTCACGGAGATGCACACAGAGCCCTGAGTGAGGAGTGTGAACTGGAGACTCACTGTAATTTATAGGCTCTGTTGAATCTGCTTAGCTTCTCGAATGCTCAGATTCTACATGTACTAAACCCAACTCAGTGATCAATGAATACACTGGCACTATATCTTACACAGTAACTCACATCTCAGCTTGAACAAGATCAAGTCATTAAATCAGATAAGCACTGATTTACCCACAGATGCTCTAGTCTGGTCCTAGTGATCAGACTGGACCTGCGCATCCCTGCACTGAACTCTCTGTCGTGTTCCTGCAGGACTAGAGTTTCACACTGATACTCCCAGGGCTGTCATGATTACGCGAATAAAGGTGGCACATCTAATAACTGTGTAATTACACATTAACACATGCAGGAACAGTGTAACTACAGGTGGTATATGCACTGTTACAGATGGTGTATTACAGGAGCTTATGTAAAGTGTAAGTGTAAGTGTGTCCACTTCAGTTGTTACTACTCATATAATTCAAGTGTATCTCGATAGTTGGAATCACATATTTTCCCTTATGTAATTACACATGTGTAATAAAGTGAGCTGCTGTTTCCAGCAGGACTTTTCTGATTTTAACAGAAGTAAGTGTAAACAGTGTAATTACCTACATTTTGTGAGTACATACACAGCATCTGCACAGGAAACACTGACGCACCTTATATTTACTTGTCTTGTGATGTGATAACCAAGGTTCTGGCTTCATTAAACCATTCTGCTAACTGTCAAGATACACTTGTAACTACATAAGTAAGAGCTCAAGTTGATACATGTGTATTTGCATAAGCTGTAGTACTGTAATACATCTGTAATAGTGAATACATCACCAGTAGTTACACTGGCATAAAGTAGGTCCAAATAAAATGGATTATACATAAAAAGATCATTAAATTTACCTTCTTCATTAATCAGCGTTTGGCTGTTTGCATGATGAGAATGCAGATTTTAAATTCAATTTTAAGCAGCTTTGAGAACATTTAATAAAATGACCAGCCATAATGCTCGAATAATAATATTCGAATATAATATTCGAAAAGTAATGACAAAATCTCTCTACAGGGTGATTCAGAAAGATTCATCCGATTTCAAAATGATTTATTTCACTTGTAAATCGTTACAGATCAATGCAGTGAACTGTAAATGGTTTAAATGAGCATAAAGTTTATTATGTAATTGTAGAAGGTCTCAGTCTGAACCTCCTCCAGCTGTACAGACAACATCAACACCATAGTCAAACTCATCCCATACTGGATTGAGCGTGTCGGGTGTCGCTGCACTCACGGCTCTTTCAGTGCGATTTCGGAGATCATCCAGTGTTGTGGAACCAACGCCGAACGCTCTGAGCTGTTGGAGCTTCACTGCCCACGAAAATCACACTGCACAGTTATGACGGATTCACTCTTATTGAAGTGGAGAACGCAGAACGCTTTCTGCTCAGGGGTCTCATCTCCTCTCAGACTGAAGGGAGCCATCTTCCACTGACAGTCAGAAACTCTATGACCTCCTCTTTCAATTGGATTGTGATTGGTTTCTCGGCGCCTCACGGTTGTAAAAATATGGTGCTTTGAAATCAGATGAATCTTTTTGAATCACGCTGTATTTTGTAATTTTTGTTCCCAAAATACTTTACATTGTCAATAAACCCTCAGTTTACCTTTTTTTAATCTTTAATGAAGTCGTTTTAAAAGTTGAAGTTAAATCTTTTTGGAATTTTTGAAAGGCTGTGCATGGTTTGTTAATTTATACTGAAATCATTTAAATTGATATTAATAATCCAGTATTACCAGATTACCTGTCAAAATACGTGTTATATTACTTAAATTCTGATGTCATCAATAGTGACAGGCTTAGATACGTCGTGTACGTTGAGTCTGGATTTAGGTTTCATTCTGAACCTTGTGAGCTGCTCAGAGTCAGATACTCTGTGAGGACGACTCCTTCAGCAGGACGTCTGCTATCACTGGTTAAGAGTTTCATTTAGACTTATAAGATATTTGCCCAGCCGAGCACTCGTTCATACACCGCACACGTTTAAAAACCTTAAACCCTTTAAACGATTTGAGCGCCGTAACCCAAATTCATATGTAAGAGATTTGAATACTGCATATATGTATATTAATATATAGGAGTATTTCTGTTAACAGGCCTCTGAAGATCACTGCTGGTCAAAATGACATGCAGTCGTATCACATTCAGAGAACGTATCTGAGATTTATCATCTGAAATTTAAACAGTGTGTATCAGCCTTATTAACACTATAGAGGTGAAGTGGGAGTCTGCCTCTTTTCTTCATCGCCTCACTGTACCTGCCTCCCTTCCTCTGCTCTTTGATTTAGTCTTCTTGCTTTCATCCCTCTGCTTTCTTTCTTTCTCCCCCATTCAGTGTTCCTCCTAATTTGCATTTACCATACCCCCCCCCACCTCCTACCTAACACACTGTCGCTCCTCAGATCCCCTCCCCCCCAAGCTTTTACAAACACACACACACACATTTGTTTTTATACAGGTTCAGGATGTGGGGTCATACCAAAAACAACGATAACAGATTATAAATAAAACAGTTTATATAAAATAATCTTACTAAAATTGTTTTAGTAGAAAACCTACAGGATGTTTTACTAAATCACCGGTTGGTCATCCAAGTTAATGACCACCTCCTAGAAGTGTGGCTAAAGGCTAAAGGACTTTCCTTTCTGCTTCTGCTGTTTTCCTGTTTTCTGTGAGTTAAGCTGGGTGTCATGTTTGTATTTGGTATTAAACTGTGTTGAAGTCTTTGGTTGTTGTATCTTCTCTTCATCAACATGACATAAGAGTCATTAGAAATGTATTGCGTAACGTGAGTCAACATATATATGGGCCGACATTTGCTCCAATCGTGAAGCACATTTTCTGCAAGTAAGTAAACTTTAGTGTTTTAATGAAACACATTATAATTTTATGTGTGTACAGCTGTTCAAAGCTGTGTTTGCTAGTCATGTACAGGCTAATGTTTTTGAGTTGTACCAAAATTACTTAAAATTCTCACTCCTGAAACATTCCTGCATATTTTTGCATTATTAATTAATTGAGGTAAGCGAAGTCCTCAGAGTGGTTTGATGTGAAATGTGCTGTTCCAGAGAGCCTTGCCGAGTCAGAGAGGAGTTTAAAGCCTCTTTAAGTTCCACTCAGACAGCTTTTACATGAACTAGTAATAACTTAAATGTCTATATTTGACCACCATTGAAAGGAAATCTAAGTCTGTAATTGTCTCTACAGTAAACCATTTCACATCAAACCCCTCTGAATGACTGTTTACATCTCAAACATTTAAACATGCAGAAATGTTCAAAAATGTATTGGAATTTCTTTGCTGATTAAATTTTTTAAGGCTTCAAACTTCTATGGTTTAAGAATGATTTGGGCAGCCCTTTCTGGCTGACAGTGTAGATTAGCACTGTTTTTCTCTCATTTTTGTCCTGTGGATGTACAAAAACAGACACACAGACACAATCAGATATGGCCACTCTCTCCCCCTCAATCTGGAACGAGTCATTGGTGGTCTGAATTGATGCTTAAGTGCATCTTAATGAATATTCATAACATGGAATAACCTGCTGTGTAGAGTGCATCTGCTTTAAATGGTGTTTGTTGGGGTGTCTGTACTGTGTCTGCCTATCTGTCCGTCTGTCTGCCTCTTTGTGCAGTTGAGCGTCTGTGTGTGCGCCCGTATGCTGATGAGCTGGTGTAACAGCAGTGACCCCCTCCTCCTTTCGGGGGCTGTGTGTGTGTGTGTCCTCCATTAGCCGTCTCTCTCGCTCTGCTCTCCATATGTAGCTGTGTGAGCAGTGTGTGTTTGTCCATCTGCTGGATTAATGTGTTGGTCTGGCCCCTGCCAGCTGCTCTCTCTGCACCCCATCGTTCAGCTACGCTACCTTCACCCCTAAAATTACTCAGCTCTGCCAGAACTCCTCCAAATGACACTCTAAAATACTGCATGAGGGTCCAGAAACCCCGGCTACAGCAATGTCCCCCCACCCTTTCTAATGAAGGGCAATAATCCTGCCCCCACAAACTTTTAGAACCTTGGAACTGACTTATTTCACCACATTGCAGCTCAGCACTTTCTAGGATTTTTAAGTGACTTGGAATTTATATTAAATTCCTCTTGCTTTGAGTACCTTAATTATGTTTATTTTATTAAAACTAATTAAACATTTCATTTTGTCACCAAAACAAAGAGAACACTACCAATATTTTAACAAATGTTTCAGTAGTGACTGTTTTGATGGTGACAATTTTAGATTATTCTGAGCAGAACTCAAAAACCCTAACTAGTATAAAACTAGCAAACGCATATGTTTCATTAAAACACCAAAGTGTGCTTAATTGCAATGAATATGTGTTTGTGACAATTACTAATGTTGAACACAGACTTTGGGACACATTTACTTCAAAACAATGGGATCTAACTGCTCACCATGTGGCCATGAGGGTCAGGGATGCAGCCTCACTTCCAGCTCTGAAAGGGGTGTGGCTGAAATAAGGCCCCGCCCATGGTCTAAAACTCTTTACGTTTGTGACATGACAATGTAGAACAGTGTGTGTGTATGAATATGTGTGTGTGTGTGTGTGTGTGTGTGTGTGTGTGTGTGTGTGTGTGTGCGTGTGTGTGCGTGTGTGTGTGTGTGTGTGTGTGTATATATACAACTGTTGCTAGGCTGGATAAGATTTACAGAACACTGGCTAAAATCTGATTCAACCAATGAGAAACTCAACTCAGAGCGCACTCCTAATTCCAAAGATATTCATTTTGCATTAAATGACAGGTCAGAGTGTCAGTAGAGATCAGCTCTGTTTTTGTTGTGTGATTAAGCTGCACAGAGCTGGACAGAATACTGTGGAAAAAGTAGTGATGGCTGAAAAGCGAATACGCTGTTCTTAGTGTTTTCAGTAACGCATTCCATTACAATACATACAGAAGGAACATCTCGCTGCTGTCGGAGCAAAACATCGTATCTCCAAACGGAAACTTTACAGGAGAGAGAAAAAACCTACTTTACTTTTAATGTAAGTCAGTTACATTAATGACTCTTTTACAAGGCATTTCGGGTCGTTTCTTTTGGTCAGTTCATCTTGAAATTTACACATGATGTAAAATGGACAACAGACTTTTTAAAATTATGTCAAAAACTGAAAAACATTAAAAATGGAGATACACTAAAAGCCTCATATCTCCGTCCCAATTTCTCAATTCGAGGAGGTCAGTGACTCAAATGTAAACAAATCTGCTTTTGTTCTTCCTGTAATGTTAGAATCAGAAAAAGGTTCACTGGGGTTCCACTTATATTGTAAGTTGCTCTGGATAAGAATGTCTGTCTGCCAAATGCATGATTGCAAATCTAACACAGATCACTGATTTTGTTGGTTTTCTGAGTGAAGGTAAGCACATCTTCTATAGAGACACACTTCTGCACAATTAATGCACAATTACTGCCTATTTACTGAATTTAATGTATTAGGAGAAGAAAATAAAACATAAATTGTGGCCTGTGCAGAAGTTTCACATTTTGTATTTTGTTTTTTTTCCTGTTAGCCAGTAAATATAAACTGTGCACTAAATTGTGGACGAGATTGCCTATTTAAGATCCTTGCAGAGGATTTATTAACTTATCGTGTAATTTGACAGTGGATGTTCAAACTTTGCGTATGACTGTATTAGTCAGATGTTTATCCTTAAACAAATCACTCATTTTAGGTGCTTTGACAAAAATTGTTGTGCACTACAGTTTCTGGTTGTTTGTAATGAGATTTGTGTGCTTTAAACTCAGCAACAGCAACAATGAGAGAACTCAATTGTGGAACATTGATAACTGCTCTTTATGCAACCCCACCCCCCCTCCCCGCCCCCGGTATTGATTGAGGTGTTTTGGTTAGGTGGTCCGCTCATGCGTGGTTGCAGGCTGTGGCTGTCCGTCACACACCACAGTCATGATTAAGTATGCCATCAGAGGAGACAGTCTGTATCGACCTCCTCCCTGACCCCACGCGCACACTATCCATACTGCTTTGTTGATTATGTCCTGAAAACAGTGGCTGTGATGGTTTATTTATTTATTTATTTATGTCTACAAGCTGCATTTACATTGATGATCTTCATGATTATAACTGCCAGCAGCACTGTATAGCTGGAGAGCGGCCAGCAGTGTTAAAGTACGCTGGTCTTTAGGAGCTCATATTCATCTCTCTTGGTACTGAGCGCGCTCTGGATTGACCAGCTCCATAAGACCCTGCCAGCAATACAAATTATGTTATTAAAGGACTATAATACACCACAGCACATGCCTTAGACTGCTGTACCCTTTCTGCTGGCGTGATAAAGGTTCATCTTCTGCTGTAGTTTTTTCTTTACTTATTCAGCACGTTTCTGCAAACTCAGGACAAAACGAAATAACACAGCCATCAGAATATCATTTACACTTGGCGAAACTAATTGTCTGGATTTCATAACAGCCGTTTTTCATAATACCTCATAAAAATCTGCCCCAAAACAAAATCAGTTAAATCTGAAACAGTTTAATCTGAAGTGCAGTTTAACATAATGAGCCAGCAGGATCATATCTGTGCGCTGTACATCTGTGTGCGTGAGTTTGTGCGTGTGTGCGAGTACGTGAGTGTGTGTGTGTGGGTGTGCGTGTGTGTGTGCGTGCGTGTGTGTGTGTGTGTGTGTGTGTGTGTGTGTGCGTGTGTGTGTGTGTGTGTGTGTGCGAGTACGTGAGTGTGTGTGTGTGGGTGAGTGTGTGCGTGTGTGTGTGTGTGCGTGTGTGTGTGTGTGTGTGTGTGCGTGTGTGTGTGTGTGTGTGTGCGAGTACGTGCGTGTGTGTGCGTGTGTGTGTGTGTGTGTGTGTGTGTGTGTGTGTGTGTAGTGGAACACAGTCTTCCTCTGTCAGCGCGAGTGCTGCTGTTAAATTATGCATGTCCTGCATTACCGTGTGCCGTGCTGTGTTGCTCCTGTGGGTGATATTGACGTCTCTCTGATAGTGATGACAATTCCTCTCTCTCTTCCTCTCCTTTTAGGAAAGTGACCTCTTGACCTTTAACATCTCCGCTCACCACTCGTGGTGGAGCGAGCACGGCCCGGGGTGTGTGCGGCGTGAGATGCCCCCTAGTGGAATGCGAAATGCGGACACGCACTCCTACGTCTCGGTGATGGGCTGCCTGCTGGAGTATCAGTATATCGAGGTGTTACACAGTGGATTTCAGATCCTCCTCTCTGTAAGTGAAAAGACTCGACCAGTGGGGAATTTTTCTTGGTTTAGAACAAAAGGGTTAAACGCCCAGCGGAAAACTGGACTTTTTCCCGTTAGCTAGGAGTGTAGGAGCAGAACTGAAGTTCTAATGTGTCAAATTACCACTAACATATTTAGGAAACTGTGGAATCAACTAATCGTGCTTTCATTTACAATGGGCTGGACCAAATTTGTAAGAAAAAATGTCACTGTAGGTCTTCTGGAAGTCCTAGATATATCACTGACTGTGAATGTGAATTCAGTCAGATGGTGAACAGCAGCAGCTCTGTCTGGGCTTGAAAGGAGCTGTAAAATTGGTACGAGGTACAAATCTTCAAATAAAACTCTGAATGTCTTTTTTGAGCTTCAGATGTTTACATTGATCCTGACTGAAAAGATGTTTATATGAACTGCTGTTAGCTTAGCACTAACATACTACTAAATCCCATAAGGGTGCTAATAGTAATAAGCATTATTGTAGAGATGTTCTTTTTTGACCAAATACTCATGGTTTATCGCTAAAACACAGTGTGGAAATGGAAAGGCCTAAACCTTTCTGGAGCTGACTGTACTGGGGGAAAGTCACACTGTGATATTTTAGATTTTTGTGATAAACTTTGCGACATTTGAGAAATAAAAAGTGAATTTCACAGATAATCTAACCTAAATGGAGTTTATTGCCGCTCTAGCAATGGAAAGACCGTGACTGCATTACTATATACTGCAATTATCATCTGTCTTTCAGTGTGTTAGAATACATATGGTGAAGCTCAGAAGACATGATTGAAGATCGACCTGCATTATTTTGACCAAAATATAAAGTTGTTGGACCGTGACTGCCTTGACTTATCATAAGAACCCAAATAATGTCAGGTTGATTAGAATGATCATAGCACACAGTGAGAATAACTTGTTAAAGGGCTCATTTGCATAACACAACATCAGTATTACAAAAGCTAAAATCACAGTAATAATGTTTGCATCCCTGTTTTGTAAATAACTGTCTATGAATAGCTTGTTGTGATTATATGTTGCTACAATGCATGTTCTCTACATGGTGTTCACAGCCTGGAGAGCAACTAATTACCACCTTAAAAAATCATTCTATACATAAAAACACCCATGATAAATAGCACAGGGAGCGAGGGAGCGTCACCCAAATGCAGGTTTTGCCGATGGCCTGCGCTGTGTGTAAGCCGTAAGTATAGGTAGTGGTTTGGTGATGAAGTGCTGTGTTTCCAGCCACATGATTACACTGTGCTGTGTATAGATATAGAAGCAGAGATGGGGGCGGCGCTCTGTCGTTTTGGGTTGAAGTGCCCTCTTTAGTTGAGACTTTGTGAAGATCTGATTTTTTTGCCAGACTAATTTACTGTATAATGTAATCTGTTCATCTGTCTGTCTGTCCCTCTGTTCAAAAAAGGGAAGGCAGACAGTGATTGGCTGTTATCTAACATGATGTCAGAGCCAGATATGAGGTACTGCTGTTCTCTTTAAACACACAGCACTGTTACAGACTAGATTTATAGAGCACATTAAAGTTGTGCGGGCTGACCTTAAATATATATATTAGAGACCTAGAAAGACGACAGGGGGCTCACTTTGGGAGGTCTGGTGAAAACATACCCTGCTTTTTCTTTGCTATATTAAAAACACTTGGGTGTTTTTAATCTTCCCAGCGGACAATATGACGTCTGTTTGAGTGCAGTTTACAAGTGGGAAATTTTCTAGTTTCCGATACCAATCAAATTAGTAGTGGGCAGAATGGCCAAAAATTGATAATATATAAATAATACATTATTAATTATATACAAAATATATAGTCCAAGTGATGGTGAGACCAAGACCTTGACTGGAACAGCTGCGCAGGTGCCTGAATGTTTTAGTTGCAGTGGGAAATCTGAATCAGCTTTGTCAAATTTCTAAAGTCATTGTCTCATATTGTGCCCCATAGACTCGTACGTCTGAGCGTCAGACACTGGTGGAGTTTGGAAAATAAATTCATTCATGCAGCTGGCATGTGGCTTGTTGTCCAGACTAGACAGGGAGACCGCAAAGTCGTCTGATGCGGCTGAACGAGTCAGACGGCTCCTCAGCCAATCATCACCGGTCTGGTGTCCATGTTAGGCTAATGCTAACCCTAAAAAGACTGGCACTTCCTTTATGTCTGTTGAGACGAAAACAAAATAGTCTACTTCAGACTATATATATATATATATATGGACATAATCCAGGCAATCTAGGTCTCTTATACACTGTTTTACTCTTATACATTATTTTATCAGCTCCACTTACTATATAGGTGCACTTTGTAGTTCTACAGTTACAGACTGTAGTCCATCTGTTTCTCTGCATACTGGAGTTTTTACACACTGTGTCCACTCACTGTCCACTCTATTAGACACACCTACCTTGTCAGTCCACCTTGTAGATGTAAAGTCAGAGACGATAGCTCATCTGCTGCTGCAGTTTGTGTTGGTCATCCTCTAGTCCTTCATCAGTGGTCACAGGACGCTGCCCACAGGACGCTGTTGGCTGGATATTTTTGGTTGGTGGACTATTCTCAGTCCAGCAGCGACACTGAGGTGTTTAAAAACTCCAGCAGCACTGCTGTGTCTGATCCACTCAGACCAGCGCAACACACACTAACACACCACCACCACGTCAGTGTTACTGCAGTGCTGAGAATGATCCACCACCCAAATAGTACCTGCTCTGTGAGGGTCTATGGGGGTCCTGACCACTGAAGAACAGGGTAAAAGGGGGCTAACAAAGTATCAGAGAAACAGATGGACTACAGTCTGTAACTGTAGAACTACAAAGTGCACCTATATAGTAAGTGGAGCTGATAAAATGGACAATGAGCGTAGAAACAAGGAGGTGGTCATGATGTTATGCCTGATTGGTGTGTGTACGCCTGTGGCTAAGGCTAACACAGCCCCTCTTCATCCATGTTTCACAGCTCTTGTTTGCTTTTGTCTGGTACAGAGAAAAGTGGTAATATAACACAGGAGAGTTACGTGTAAAGCAGTAAAGCTGTTCTCGCAGCACTCAGACAAGTGCCGGAAGGTTCTCTAGGGCGATCATTATCCGCTCCCACCCCAACAATGAGAAACTCACTCCAGGAAGAGAGCTGAGTAACGTAGTCTTCTGCAGCTCAAGGATGTGGCACACACACATATCCACACACACACACACACACACACACACACATATATATCTCAGTCAAGTTCCTACAGGCTCCCCCACCTGCCCCGCAAAAAAAAATCCCAGAGAACAGATTAGTCACCAGATACAGTAGGTAGACACCGAACACCCTGTGAGCAGCAATGAATTGACCCTGACAGACAGTCTCTCTTCTTTCTCTCTCTATTTCTCTCTCTCACTCACTCACTCCTTTCTTGTCCACTGATGATCCCCCGTGGCGTTCCGCCCTCCAGCAGTAAGCTCCGGTGCTCCCTGGGAAACGTTTTCAATAAAGTGGAGGAATTAGCTCAGCGCAGACACAGCCGACTAGTTTCTTACATTTCTCTGCAGTTTCTCGTCGGCCTTGGACGGTGGTCTCGGTGCTATTGCCTTTCTCTGATCCACTCAGGCCTTCTGTCTATTTTTAACCTCCTAAAGATTTTAAGTTGACTATTTTACAATGACCAATGCACAGCACTGCTCTCCAGCGCTGAGAGGAAGTACAGACAGTCGTTATGTTCTTCTGTGTCTGGGAATTATATGCAAAATGATTCCACTGTGTTCTTGTACTGATCTGCAATTGATCTGTGGCCCGCCCACAAACGCATTCTTTACAGATCAAAAATCCCATTCAACGTAATGAGAAACTGTGGAAATTGTGTTTAGATTTCTTAAGTTTCCAGTTTAAAATTCTACAAGGTAGGAAATGACATCAAATTATGTTATACTAATATTAGCTCAGCAACAAAACAAAAAACTACACGCGATCTGTCCAAACGGTGTGATCTACCACACACATGCAAAATAAATAGCATTTAAAATAAATAAAACTAGATTTTGTTATTTTATAAGATCCATGACAGGCCTGCAGGTTTCCACTCCAAACGAGCTGGAGCTCACCTGACTCTACTGGTTTAAACAGTGAGTCTCCGTCTTGAGCTCCTGCATTGTTGGAGTGAAAACCTGCAGCCACCCCGGCCCTCTGCGGATAAGTTTGGGCACCCCGGCATAGGGTTAGCTATGCTGTAAAAGCCAAACGAGAATATTTGAAAATATTAATTTAGAACATGAATATTTTGTGATCACATTACTAACTTTTTAGTTTCACAAATACATGCGAAATGAAAGACAAAGAACCTCTTAGATCTCTCAGCCTCTGAACAACAGCCTGCCTAGTTCGTTTTTAGGGAACAACACGCAGCTGAGGTTTAAAAAGTTGGCAGTGCTACTGAACGAGGAGCCTTTAGAACCCAAAATAGCCGTACTGCTGATCTGAGTGTCTGAAAGGAGCCGGAACGCCGGTCACTAGTTTAGTGGGATTTTTGCCAACATTCTGTAAAACTTCTCCAAGTTTGCAGCAGCTGAGCATCGAGAGGTCAGTGGATATGATGTCCGAGAAAGTTGGATGGGTTCAGCTGTCACTCACAGAACAGAGAAGGGTTTACAGTGGTGTGTAAATAGTTTGCTGCACAGGGTGGTGTGTGTGTGTGTGTGTGTGTGTGTGTGTGTTTGTGTGTGTGTGTGTATGTGTGTGTGTGTGTGTGTGTGTGTGTGTCTGTGTGTGTCTGTGTGTGCATGTGTGTGTGTGTTTGTGTGTGTGTGTGTGTGTGTGTGTGTGTGTGTGTTTGTGTGTGTGTGTGTGTGTGTGTGTGTGTGTGTCTGTGTGTGTGTCTGTGTGTGTTTGTGTGTGTGTGTGTTTGTGTGTGTGTGTGTGTGTGTGTGTTTGTGTGTGTGTGTGTGTGTCTGTGTGTGTTTGTGTGTGTGTGTGTTTGTGTGTGTGTGTGTGTGTGTGTGTCTGCG